AGCAACCTCCAACTCCTGGGCTCAAGCGAGTCTCCTGCCTCCGCCTCCCGAGTAGCTGGGACCATAGGTGCCCTCCACAACGCCCAGCTATTTTTTGGTTGCAGCTGTCATTGTTGTTTGGCAGGCTGGGGCTGGATTTGAACCCAGCCACCTTGGGTGTATGTGGCTGGCACCTTAGCCACTTGAGCCATAGGCGCCGAGCCTAGACTGAGACTCTTTAAGGGCAAGGAACACGTAATATATAGGTTTCAGAGTCAGACCTGGGATCAAATCCAGCCACTAGTAGGTGAGTGGCCTTGGGCCTGTCACTTCACCTTTCTGAACATCAGTCTTCCCAGCCACAAAATGGGAATAATAATATCTACTCTTCACACTTGTTATGAGGATGAAAGACATCATATAGTAGGTAGACTGCCATTCCTGTGGGTGAAAACTGGTTAAGTATCAGCTCTTTCATTTGGTCCAATCCAAAATGTCAAGCACTCAGCACAGTTTCTGGCACATACAATGCGCTCAGTAAATCGAAGCCGCTACTGAGATCTTCTGTTGTGCTAGGTGGGGGTCCAACTTGCACGTTCAGTGAATGAATGAATGAAAACAACCAGGATCAGGGCTGAGCAAGGGCTAGGTTGCAGATGGCTGTTCCCAAGGCCCAGAAGATGCTGATAGGTGATGGGGACTCCTCCTTTAGGCCAGGAGAGAGCCAGCCAGTGACCCCATGTGGCTGAGTTCACAGCCTCTGCCTGTCTGCTCTGGGCCCTGAAGAAGCATCCCCTCCACCTTGTGCCCTCCGTGTTTATTTCTCTTTCTTGCCCCATTTACTGAGCAAAAGTCTTGTTTTCAGGTTACCATAGTTACCATTTACTTGTACTTACACTGTGCCAGGCTCCAAGCTAAGCACTTTGCAGGCATTAACTCATTTACTCCTAACTACCTAACGCAGGTCCTATTTTTAACCCCTTGATGCAAGGTTTCTAACATTTTGTTTACAGACTATCATTTATAAACAGTAAAGTGCCCTCGTTTTTAATGTACGTTTCAAATTCAACGTTTTGACAAACGTATACCATCACCATGATCACTCTGCATTCATTTTTGTCACCCCCATTTTGGACCCCCTTGTACTCAATTCTCCCATGGATCCTCCCCACTCTCAGCCCCGGGTAATCGCAGATGTGCTTCCTGTCATAGTAGATTTGTTCTGACTTTTCTAGTTGCGCCTAAATGGAATCACGCGGTGAATACATTTTGCATTTGGCTTCTCTCGCTTATCTTTGGCTTTTTTCTTTCTAATTGCAGCTGTTGGCTGCAATTGGCTTGTTCCTTTTAATTGCTGAGTAGTTGTTACAGACTGAATTGTGTCGTCCCTCCCTCAAAGAAAATTTGTAAGTTGAAACCCTAACCCTCAAAGTGACTGTATTTAGAGATCAGGTCTTGGGAAGGTAATTAGGTGAAATGAGGTCATAAGAGTGGGGCCTTAGTCCACAGGACCAAGGTGCTTGTAAGAAGAGACACCAGAAGTGCATGTACACAGAGAAAAAGCCATGTGAAGACACATCTGCAAGCCCAAGTGAGAGACCTCAGGAGAAACCAGACCTGCCAGCACCTTGACCTTGGACTTCGTGCTCGCTCAAGGCAAAGAAACACATTCCTGTTGCCTAAGTCTCCAAGTCTAAGGTGTTTTATTGGGACAGCCTGAGCCAATGGACGGCAGATGGACAGCCAACAGTAGTGTTCCACCAACTGAGCACAATGTGTTCACCCATTAGAGGTGGTGGTTTGACAGATGAGGACACCAAGCCCCAAGACTTAGAGACACCCTGCAGCTTGCCTATGGTCCCACAGACCAGCTCAGAACTAAGCCCGAGCCTGTGGGCCTGTTCTCCACTGGGACAGAGCAGAAAGGAGCGCAAAGTGGGTAGGAACAGACAGCCAGTGGGGGACTGGTGCTCTGGGAGTGCCCGTTGCCCCAGCTGGAGCCCAAGGGCCTTTCCTGCTAGAAGGAGGCAGGGGAGGGGGAGGTCCCAGGGGGTCCTTCCAGGGAGGCCCCTTGTCTTTGCTTTCTGACAGTAGGACATAGAACAGGACCCAGCTGGAGGAGTGGCCCGTGCCCCACAGGCTGAGGAAGACCTGGGGCCAGACAGCAGGTCCTGGGGCTGTCCGGTGATAATGGAGACTGTCCAGTGGACGATCCTGTTGAGAACTCAGCTGAGCTTGCATAGGACCAGCCCTTGCCTTGTTAAGCCTTGGTCTACTTGTTGGCAAAATGGGGATGACATTAATAATTTACCCTCCAGGCAGTAGCTCCTGGGCTGGTTTGTGTCTAGTTTTGTTCATCTTCGTCTCTTCTATGGGAGGTCCTGGCACAGGCAGATCCCCAGCCAATATTTGGGGACTGAATGAACGATAGTTATGCTTTTCAAAGAGGAGAATGAGTAGCCTGGAAGCTTCCAGAGGGTGCCAGAAGCCACAGGTGCCCCTTCTTGGAATGTCCACTTTATTCAAAGAGGATGGAGGATGCTCGCTTTGGCAGCACATGGACTAAAAGTGGAACGATACAGAGATCAGCATGGCCCCTGCGCATGGATAACAGACAAATTCGTGAAGTGTTCCACATTTTAAAAAATTAAAGAGTATAGAGGACATAATGTGTAACAGTTAGGAGCTGCTGGCCCGGCACCCATAGCACAGTGGTTATGGCGCCAGCCACATGCACCAAGGGTGGCAGGTTCAAACCCGGCTCAGGACAGCTAAACAACAATGACAACAACAACAACAAAAATAGCCGGACATTGAGGCAGGTGCCTGTAGTCCCAGCTACTTGGGAAGCTGAGGCAAGAGGATCTCTTGAACCCAAGAGTTTCAGGTTGCTGTGAGCTATGATGCCACAGTACTCTAATGAGGGCGACAAAGTGAGACTCTCTCAAAAAAACAAAAACAAACAAAAAACATGTAACAGTTAATACAGGCTTTTTTTGTGCTAAACTATATAGTATAACAGTATGGTGGTCACTTAAAAAATTAACCATAGAACAGTCATACGTTTCAGTAATTCCACTTTTGGACATAAACCTAAAAGAACCAAAAGCAAGGACTCTAACTCCTGGGCTCCCAGTTTTGGGGTCAAGTGATCCTCCTGCTTCAGCTTCCCAAGTGGCTGGGACTACAGGTGCCCAGTTGGGAGCTAGGGTTTAATGGGCACAGAATTTCTGTTTGGGAAGACAAAGTTCTGGAGACGGATGGTGATGACGATTGGACAATAACATGGATGGACATAATGTCACCACTGAACTGTACACTGGAAATGGATAAAATAACAAAACCCATCATTTTAACCATGTCCAAGTGTACAATACAGTGCATTAAATGCATTTACTTTGTTGTGCAAAACATCATTTTATTTATTTTTTTATTGACACAAGAGTCTCACTTTGTCACCCTTGGTAGAGTGCTGTGGTGTCACAGCTCACAGCAACCTCTAACTCTTGGGCTCAAAAGATCCTCTTGCCTCGGCCTCCCAAGTAGCAGGGACTACAGGCACCTACCACAATGCCTGGCTGTTTCTCTAGAGACGGGGTCTTGCTCTGGCCACCATGCCCAGCCCAAAACATCATTTTAAAATTAAAAAAAAAAACAAGTGTGGCTCATTATGAAATAGGATGAAAAGTTCACAAGAATGTTGAAGATGAAATAATGAGATTTCAAGAAAGAACAACTACGTGTGGCTCAGCGCCTGTGGCTCAAGCCAAGCGGCTAAGGCACCAGCCACGTACACCAGAGCTGGCGGGTTGGAATCCAGCCCAGGCCTGCCAAACAATAATGACAACTACAACCAAAAAATAGCCGGGCGTTTTGGTAGTCCCAGTTACCTGGGAGGCTGAGGTAAGAGGATCACTCAAGCCCAAGAGTTGGAGGTTGCTATGAGCTGTAACGCCACAGCACTCTGCTCAGGGCGACAGCTTGAGGCTCTGTCTCAAAACAAACAAACAAAAAAAAGGAACTATCTGGCCTTGGAAGCTCCAAGGGGCAGCCGGTTCTGTCTAGTTCCTGGCTATGTCTTCAGGGCTCATCACAGACCCTGAGAACTGTTTTTTGTGTGAATGAATGAATGAGCAAATGAATTCAGTTCAGGTTTGCTCCAATTTCACCTTCACTCTCCTCTTCCCTTAAGGGCAGTTGATGGGAAAATGTCAAGGAATTCTGCCCAATAAAGCTCACGGCTCAAGGTCATTCCCCGAGTCCAGGCCTTCTAGAGGCAGCAGATCGGCCCTTGGGCGTGGGCGTAGGCCTGGGTGATGCTCCAGGTCTTCCCTTCCCTCTCTAGACTCTGGGTTCCCTTCCAGGAGGAATCCTGATAAGTCTTCCTCCCTAAGGGGACCATTGCTGTACCCTGCCCTAAGCTGGAACCCCAAACCTCAGTGCCTGCTTGTCTCCGTGAAGGAAGGAAGCAAGGAACAGGCTGAACCACACAGTGGAATGGGAAGCTTTTATGTACACAAAGGGAACTTTATTGTATTTTAATTATCAATTAATTAATTTGCTTAATTATTTAGAGACAAGGTCTCATTTTGTCCCCCAGGCTGGAATACAGTCACACAAGCATAGCTCACTGTAACCTTAAACTCCCGGTGTTTGGAATTTTTTATAATGAAATGTTTGAAAACATATTCTCAATATCTTTCTATACTATTACTTTTTTTTTGTTTCATTTCTGACACATAGAACAATGCTTTTCTTGATAGATCTCCTATTTGGGGATATTTATGTTGCTTTCAACTTTTCACTATGAAAACAGCATAATAATAAACATCTTGTTATAATTTCCCAGATTTCAGAATAAGCTTTCTTTTTTTTTTTTTTTTTTTTTTGTGAGACGGAGCCTCAAGCTATCCCCCTGGGTAGAGTGCCGTGGCTTCACAGCTCACAGCAACCTCCAACTCCTGGGCTCAAGCGAGTCTCCTGCCTCAGCCTCCCAAGTAGCTGGGACCACAGGCGCACGCCACAACGCCTGGCCATTTTTTGGTTGCAGCCATCATTGTTGTTTGGCGGGCCCGGGCTGGGGATTCGAACCTGCCACCTTAGGTGTATGTGGCTGGCGCCTTAGCCGCTTGAGCCACAGGCGCCGAGCCCAGAATAAGCTTTCGAATCATTATTTTAAAAGCCTGCACGAGGCCTCTATCTATTTAGCTAATCTCCCTGTGTTTGGACATTAAATTGTTCCACAATTTTTCATGTTAATCATATTAATCTTGATGAGTTTGGAAGCTATTTGGCCTGGACCCCAAGGTCCTAGATCTTTGTCCAGCACCTGTAAGCAGGGTCGTCTTGGAGATATAGGCACCGAGGACAATCTAGGCCAAAGTCAAGTTGAAAATTCACAGAGGCTTTGGTCCAAGACCTATCTGGGAAATCCAGATCTACCTCCCAACTCTGGGCTAGGTCTACTTCAGCTAGGTCTACTTTCCCCAGGCTCAGGGGCCTGCAGACACAATTCCTCCTGGGGATAAAGTACAAAGGGATGACAGCCTGAACCTCCCCTCAAGGTTAAAGTGTGCAGCCAACAATAATGCTGAAAAGATTAGCTTCCTTATACCACCTTTCCACAATTAGGGATTGTTTCCTTAGGCTAGAAATCTAACTCAACTGAGATGAAGAATCTGAATGTTTTTACTGCTCTTCAAGTATAAAGAAGTTCTTTTATTTTTTAATATATGATTTTTATTTTTCCTTTGTTTCTGGCCTTGTTGCAGCCCCTGGTGTGGGGGTGGAAGAAACCTAAATGAACTATATGAGATGGCCCTGTCCTCACTGAGCCCAGAGTTTGGACGTAGAGATGAAATACAGCTGTGAAGGCCACATGGTAGCAGAGAGACTTGACATGATCCAAGAAAGTATTCTCCAAGCTCAGAAGGGGAGAGTCCTCTCCCCTGGGGAGGCCAGAGAAGCTTCCTGGAGGAGGCAGGATAAAAACAGAGCCTGCAAGATTTGGGGGATGTGCCCATGCTGAGAAAGAGGAGGGGGGGAAATAACACAGAGGGAGGTGGGGTGGAGTGTGGCACCCCTAAGCCAAGCCAGGATGGAAGTCCAGGCAAGAAAACAAACTGAGTTTATTAGTGCCCAGTGCTGTGAAGCAGGCATGAGAGGGTCGCTTTAGGTGTGTTCATTTCATGGAGTCACAGTGTGTAATCAATGATTTTTTTGTGTCAGTAGCTGGTCTTTGGCCACAATAGGGGCTTGTTCTGGTAGTGGCACAAATGATGGAGCAGAATCCTCAGAAGAATAAGTCAACAGCCCATTACCACCTCCCACATGAGAGTCCTGAGTGGGGCCAGTCTACATTTTGTTTATTTATTTAGACAGAGTCTCACGATGTTGCCCCAGGCTAGAGTGCCATGGCATCAGCCTAGCCCACAGCAACCTCAAACTCCTAGGCTCAAGCCATCCTCTTGCCTCAGCCTCCCGAGTAGCTGAGACTACAGGTGCCCGCCACAATGCCCAGCTAAGTTTTCTATTTTTACTAGAGATGGGATCTTATTCTTGCTCAGGCTGAGCTTGAACTCCTGAGCTCAAACAAGCACACCTGGCCTAACTTTTTGCACTTTATTTAATGTTAAGAACATTGCAGGAAATTTGCAAAAGGAGCAAAAGGAAAAATGAAATTACCCCCAACCATCCCTTTCTATCACGCTATTACCAGACGAAGAGGGTCTGACCACCTGTCACTGTCAGCCAATATCGAGAAATTCCAATAAAAATGAAAAGAGGGGACATACCCTGTATGGTGATTTCCTAGTAACCCACCTAATCCGCCAGCCTTGTACTTCATCTTCTTCACCAAGTGTCCTTGGGGTGTGTACAAGCACGGTCACCAGGCAGAGCTGGGAGAGGCGTACAGAGGCGAACCAGGGGCTGGTCCCTGGGGCACCCAGGCCAAGAGGAAATGTGGGACGTCCACACCTGTGGAATGAGACCATAACTGCTCCGTGGGGCTGAAAGGGAAGAAGCTTGAAAATTTCTCCACACAGCACCTGGCCTAGAGCTGTGTGGGACCCAGGAGACCTGAGCCATTGCTCTTGGCTCTTTTTACTTTTAAACAGACAAAGGAGGGGGGTGTGTGTCCAAGACAGGTGGTCACAGGGGGTGTGGTTCTGTGAAAGGAGATGGCAGGCAGAGTTTTAGAATCGTTTTTCTTTCCATTGTAGAAGAAAAATCTCACTAAGGGAGAAAAGCAGGGTCTTGGCTGCTAATCATACTCTCTCTGCACTTGCCCATCCCCACCCCAGTTGAGAGCCTGGTTTAACATCAGCTGCTGCCCCCACTCCCCTCCATCTCTGTATACTTTGTACTCCTACCCCGTGACTCACACGCCTCAGCTCCATCAGGGCCCGATTGTTCTCCAGGCCTCCTTGGCCCAAAGCTCTTGATGGATTTGGTAATTGGAGTAATTACGGTAATTTTACCTTAAAGACAGACAGCTGCAGATTCCCTAGTGGGGTGCCCCCTTCCCGGGCCTCCTGCCAGCCAGTGTTCAGGAACAATGACAGTGGCCCCCTCTCTCCTCCCCACTCCCCCACAACTGCAAAGTGGTTGGGGTGGGGGTGGGGCATTCTCAATAGGAAGC